CCTGTGTTTGTAAGTCTACAGCCAGCGACCAGCGGAAGTGAACTAGACGTTAGCCATCCCGGTTAACGACATCACACGCACACAAACCAACACTCAAAATGCGGCAACCGCCGCGTGTGAAAACATATTTACTCGCAGCCTCACGCCCTGCGCGGGCGGAATAATAATCAATCATCCCTCTAATATATAATATATATAATAATAATAACATATAATACATTGTGCACGTTTTGTAGCAACGGCTTTGGGAGGAAGAACAGCTAAACATGGTGATTGATTTCTCTGAATGTCGCATCGACCCCGCACCTTTCCAGCTCGTGGAGCGTACAACCTTGTACAAGGTATGTGGATTCCTTGATTCCTTGCCCCATGCGCCTATCTTCCACACCTGGAAAAATATGACTGAATGATGTTTAATTGGCATCCTGTGCAACACCTCCAGTAAGGATGATCATTATATCTGTTAGGAGCATGCGATCCATGAATGAAGACTGAATATGTCTTGGAAAATGGGAAAACACGGCGAGTTTTGCTCATGTTTATTTACGACCGACCGGTCAGTGCTGTTCAGACTGGTTGCGGAATTGCTTTGACAGTGTCTGCAGTCTGTGCCATTCTCCAGCTATCTATACTCAGTCATTGTGTTTGCTTTTCTAGGTGCACTCCATCTTCTCCCTGTTAGGCTTGCAAGTCGCTTACGTGACAGCGATAGGCAGGCTGGTCGGAGTCGTCTCACTGAAGGAGGTGGGTGGTGTCCTTGTCACTCGGCCTGCGTTCTCATTTATATCATACGCTTACCGTAAACGTAATATCACTAATAAACAGATGTTGTAAAATGTCGAGGGTGATTTCAGTGGACGGAAAGCGATGAACATACACAGCCTGTAATTAAGTGAACCTAATTGATTATATGATAACAATTAATTAAAGCTTAGCAGCACAATTTGTGAATAACTAAATCGAAGAGGCAGTAAATCGTCCGCGCTGACCACTACTGGGTTGCCAAGCTGTGTGACTGTGTCAAGATTCCTCTTCTCTGACTCTTGCTCACTTTCTTTCTCTCTTGCCCTCTCTTCCCCCCCTCTCTTGCTCCCTTCTTCCCTCTTGCTCACTCCCACTCTCTCTCGCTCTGCGTCTCTCTCTCTTTCTCTCTTGCTCACTCACCCTCTGATCATGTCTATAGACTCGATGATCCTGCTCGGGTCGGTGCGGCGTGTGGAGCTCGAGTATGCCTTCAACAAGCACGTCGGTCGTGAGAGGAAGCTGCAGCCGGTCGAGAAGAAGATGCTCGCTGGAATCACAGAGATTCCTTCCTCCTCCCACATCTCCCGCTTCACGGTATGTGCCACGCGGCCATGGATGGGGAGGGAGGAGGCGGGCACGATGGGATGCGGGAGGGGGAGGTTCTAACGGGGTTGGTTGGCTTTACAGAGAGAGGAAATGTAGAAATTATGAATTATTTAGTAGTAATTTTATGAGTACTTTGATGTCATGTTAATGTACTCCTCATGACATAATTAAACATTAACCTAACATTAACATAACATTAACACAGCATAAACATAATGCTTCATTTACCATAATATTAATGTGTTCCTGGCATAATTAAAAAATTTAACATGACATCAATGTAACATACGATTTACATAATGTTAATGTACTCCAATTTTAATTAAATTCAACTGAAATCCGTCTTTCGCCTTCTCTTGTCATGATGTGTTCCTGAACATTACGTGAAAGAACTGGCTGTAATTTGCGTTCGCTCGCTTGTTTTCTTCGCGATTCAAATTACCCGTGTGTTCGCGCGCGTGTGTTTGAGCTTTCCCGGTGAGTGTATTTGCTTGTGGGGCGCTATGCAGCTTGGTTTCTAACTCACGCAAGCTTGTAGTCTAGTAGATTTTTTTATGAAAGCTCTTCAAAAACTTGAGCTTTACTTTGATATTGATTTTAAACTTGTGAAGTGGTTCTGTTCAAAGACTATCCAGCTACTGTTGGTCAGAGCTGTCTTAGAGCCAGTTGATCTTGACTTATGCTGTTCTAACCTGAAGCCATATATTATTTTGGTATAAGTATGTGACTTTTTAACCATTTGAAGCAGACCTGCACACATTTTCCCTGCATCGATTGGTGTCGAGTTTATTTCTTCCTTCTGAAATGTCAAATATCTTGTTGCATGCATCCGTACATATATAAATCATGGATAATAGCATGAAAATATATCTACTAATCACAATCGCGTGCAGCCATATTGAGCCAGAGTGGTTAGCTAGCATGTTATCCGTGTGTGACGTGACATCGAATAGGGCATGTGTGCAGGTTTTGTTTCATTACTTATGTATTAACATTGCGTACACAGGTTTCACCAGCCATACTAGACACACGCGCTACAAGCACTGACAACCGCAAGGTTTGCATGACTATTAATTTGCTTCCACAATCCATTTTATGTGATTTTTAGCAGATGCGAAATGTTAGCTGTTAATTTGGTGAGATTTGGCCACTGTGCAGGCGTTTATATACTTTTTTATTATATTTTTTTGCTGCAATGTTCAGTTTTGCAATTTAAAATTTAAATTGATAATAATATTGTTTTATTCTGAAGAGGTTGTGAATTGCAATTTGAGAGTAGATATCAGATCTTGTGTACTGTGCTACTGACTCACTGTGTAAGTGTGTGTGTGTGTGTGTGTGTGTGTGTGTGTGTGTGCGTGCGTGCGTGCGTGCGTGCGTGCGTGCGTGCGTGCGTGCGTGCGTGCGTGCTCGCGCGCGTGTGAGTGCACACAATGTCATTGCTGTGTGTCATAATTGTGTTCTTTGTGTCGCCTGTCATTGAGTGTCGTCATGCCATCATTGTCAGTTATCGTGTGTCATCGTGACATCATATCATGTCATTATCATGGCATCATCATCTGCTGTATGCGTCATCATGTCGTCATGCGTCTTAGTCTTGTATCATCATTTCTTCATTGTGTTCTATCGTTTCATCATATTCATATGTGTGCTATTGTCTTGTGTTCATCGTGTGTCATTATGTGTAATGTGACAATGTCATTGTGTGCTGTCTGCGTCATCATGTCGTCATCATGTGTGACGTAACGATGTTATTGTGTGGCCACTGCATTATCGTGACGTGAAATGTCATCGTGTGCTGTCTGCGTCATCGTGTCATCATCATGTGTGACGTAACGATGTTATTATCGTGACGTAACGATGTTATTATCGTGACGTGGAATGTCAGCATGTACTGTCTGCGTCATCAGCGGCGCTTCAAGCCGATCAAGTCAATCCTGAAGCGCGCCAAGTCGCCGAACACGACGATCGAACTCAACGAGCTGACGGCGGTGACCTCTAGCATGCGCTCGGACAACGACGACTCGCCATACGACACGTTGCGGACGGACCCCGGCCAGGGCACGCTGACCAGCTACCCGGGTAGTCCGCAGAGCACGATCACCTCTAACTTCTCCGGCCGACACGTGCAGCTGGTAAGCGCAGCGCCCTCAGTGGTGCAGCTGGTAAAAGTGGCGCCCTCGGTGGTGCAGCTGGTAAGCGCGGCGCTCTCTGTGGTGCAGCAGGTAAATGTGGCGCCCTCTGTGGCGCAGCTGGTAACGCGGCGGCCCTCCTGTGGTGTACTGATATAAGAGTGCTGCACCTCTGTGGCTGCAGCTGGTAAGACAACGGCGCCCTTCTGTGGTGCAGCTGGTAAATGTGGCGCCCCTTGTGGCGCAGCTGGTAAGGGCGGCGCCCTCTGATGGCACAGCTGGTAAAAGTGGCGTCTCTGATTGGACATAATCGCGTGAACGTTGGGGTTAGTGTTTGCGCATGCTATATGATATCTGCCTAATGGCCTATCATTGAGTGTTGGCGCCATCTGTAGCCACATAATTGGCAAGAAAAATGTCCATGAGGAGGGTTGGTTGCTAATGGCCTTCGATCGTAGAGTCGTTTTATTCGGCCATGACTTTTCTCATTTCTAGTTGGTTGTTTGGCGCGTTCTGTAGAGATTAGACACGTGGGGGAGAAATTTTCTGTGTCACCTATTATGGTTATTTTTCTCTGTTTTCAGCCAGAAGAAGTAATACGCATTGTAGACCTTCCAATAGAACAGGTAAACGAGCCGGCCATTGTTGTGGCACATCGTCTTTCACAATTGGCTCCTATTACGCGTGCTCTCACCGTAGTGCAATTCTGATACTGCCGAGTTCTACATTAACCCAATCTTTGTGTGAAATTATTGATAGCTTAATTGGTTGGAATGCAACCTTTGACGCACAAAGTCCAATTTGTCTTGATATTTATTTGTGAATTATTGGGCGATGATTTGAAGATCTGTAGCCAAGATACGCATTGATACTAGGTTGTATATCATATATGTATAAGAAATAATGGCAATAATATTATAACTAGAGCACAGCTGGAGAAGCACAGACCTCCACCAAGCGCTGAATTTCTCTCATGTGAATATTTTTTATTAACTTAATTAATAAGGTGGAAAAATTAATTAATTAATTAGATTAATTAAATAATTAATTGGATCCGGATTAGTGCGAGCGTGCCAGGTGGGGGAGGGACTGTGGTTGCCCTTATCCTCGGTGTTTGTAAGTCTACAGGCCAGCCCGCCCAAAAACCCTAGCGGAAGTGAACTGAAACGTGCATGGTAACACACACACAACACAACAAACCAACAACTCAATGGCACGCCGGGTGAGAAACATAACGCTCGCCACGCCCGCGGCGGAGGTAATAATGAATACATAATATATATAATAATATAGTATATATAATAATAATAATATATAATTCATTGTGCAGCGTTTTGTAGCAACGCTTTGTGGAGGAAGAAACAGGCTTAGAACAATTGGTGATTGATTTCTACTGAATGTCGCCATCGACCCCAGGCACTTTCCAGCTCGTGGATGCGTTACAACCATTGTAACAAGGTATGTTGGATTCCTTGATCCTTGCCCATGCCCATCCTTCCACACTGGAAAAAATATGAACTGAATGATGTTTTAATGGCTCCTGTGCGAACACCTCCAGTAAGGATGATCGTTATATCTGTTAGGAGCATGCGATTCATGGATTGAAGACTGAATATGTCTTGGAAAATGGGAAAACACGGCGAGTTTTGCTCATGTTTATTTACGACCGACCGGTCAGTGCTGTTCAGACTGGTTGCGGAATTGCTTTGACAGTGTCTGCAGTCTGTGCCTTCCCCAGCTATCTATACTCAGTCATTGTGTTTGCTTTTCTAGGTGCACTCCATCTTCTCCCTGTTAGGCTTGCAAGTCGCTTACGTGACAGCGATAGGCAGGCTGGTCGGAGTCGTCTCACTGAAGGAGGTGGGTGGTGTCCTTGTCACTCGCTGCGTTCTCATTTATATCATACGCTTACCGTAAACGTAATATCACTAATAAACAGATGTTTGTAAAATGTCGGAGGGTGATTTCATGGACGGAAAGCGATGAGCATACACAGCCTGTAATTAAGTGAACCTAATTGATTATATGATAAACAATTATTAAAGCTTAGAGCACAATTTGTGAAAACTAAAATCGAAGAGGCAGTAAATCGTCCACTCTGAGCACTACTGCGTTTGCCCGAAGCTGTGTGACTGTGTCAAGATTCTCTTCTCTGACTCTTGCTCACTTTTCTTTCTCTCTTGCCCTCTCTTCTTCCCTCTTATCTCTCTCCTCCCTCTCTCTCTGCATTCTCTCCACTCTCTCTCTCTGGCATTCGTCTCCCTGCTCATCTCTCTCTCTCCCGCCCGACTCTCTCTCTCTCTCTCTCTCTGCATTCTCGTCCCGCGTTTCTCTCTCTCTCTCTCTCTTCTCTCATTCTCTCTCTGCTCTCTCTCTCTGCTCTCTCTCTCTCTCTCTCTCTCTCTCTCTCTCTCTCTCTCTCTTCTCTATCTCTCTCTATCTCTCTCCTCTTTCTCTCTCTCTCTCTCTCTCTCTCTCTCTCTCTCTCTCTTCTACTCTGCTCTCTTCTCTCTCTCTCTCTCTCTCCTGCTTCTTCTCTTCTCACTCTCTCTCTCTCTCTCTCTCTCTTCTCTCTCTCTCTCCTTCTCTCTGCCCTCTTTCCTCTTATCTCTCCTCTCTTCTCTCTCTCTTTCTCTGCCTGTCTCTCTCTCTCTCTCTTTGTCTCTCTGCATTCCCTCCTGCTCTCTCTCTCTCTTTCCCACTCTCTCTCTCGCTCTCTCTCACTCTGCATTCTCTCTCTCTCTGTAGCTGCGGTTTGCGATCGAGGGCACGAGCGATCCGTCCACGATGCAGCGATCTGCCTCCTCGTCGCCGCAGAAGGAGATCGAGATCCCGTACGACGGCCACGACGACGACGACGATGACGACAACGACTACAACGACGACAACGACGACCCTGAACGCGGCGGCGGTGACCTCGGCGACGGCGGCGCGACCGGCGGAGGAGGTAGCGACGCCGAGCGAGAGCCCCGCCTTTCGCCGGACTACGAGGAGCGAGCAGTGAGGCCGCGCTCGGCGACTGCGCCAGCGCCCCCTAGCGGCGACATCGAGGAGGAGGCGGACGACGCGAGCGAGACGGTCATCGGGCCGTCGGGACGCCGCTTCCGCGTGAAGTCGCTCACGGCGGACGACCCGCGCTCGCCCGAGAGCTTCTCGTAATCCGGTGCGCTGCCAGGGGGCGCTACAATCTTGCTCGAGATGTTGGGGGTTTTGAAGAGGTCGGCGGCGAAAGTCTAGAGGTCATTGAGAGGTTGGCCAGGTCGTCGATGGTCAAGGTCATCGAGAGGTCATCGCGTCGAAACGCATGTTTATATAAGTTTGTTGCGGCAGCAGCGGACGCCGGGCATGCAGCTAGCATCCTAGCCGCATCTCGATTCCTCGCGTGTTTCTGTCGTCGAGGATTCGTCTGAGAGTCATCGCCGAGCACGCCACCACATTCGTTCTGCCTTAACGAGCATTCGTGGTTTCGTTAGCGGCGTTCGTGTGAGGGCGTCGAAGCAACCCACCTCCCCCCCCCCCCAGTCGCATGTCGACACGGACGTGATGTGATTCGTTGCCTTTCACGGAGGTCAAACACACTGCCTCTGTGTTCTTCTGTGATTGGTCACCGCCTGTGATTTCGCCATGTGTTGCGCGTCTTTTCTGCGATGTCACATCCAGTGTTGTGATGTCAGTTTCTCTGTGATGTCATCGGGTGTTGCGCAACTTTTCTGTGATGTTGTTTGAAGTAGCACACCTCACTCATTGTCAAGTAATAACACAATTGCGTCTAGCTGTATTTCTCCCTATATATATATATATATATATATATATATCCACATTATATAAAGTAGAACTGTGGGTGAATGTGGTGGGGTTGTTGCTTAATTGTAAAGGTAGCCAGTATTCGAGGGTTACACCGCTGTGCATAATTTGACTCTGTTTCATGTATTTAGTTTTTATTTCTGTAGACTAATATTATGCAATGTAAGTCTCCATCTCAGTAATCCATTTAGGAATAAATCACGTAGGAAGGAAGTCATCCTTGTAGGAATAAATCACGTAGGAAGGAAGTCATCTTGTAGGAATAAATCACGTAGGAAGGAAGTCATTCTGTAAGAATATATCACGTAGGAAAGAAGTAATCCTGTAGGAATAACCCAACATAGGAAGGAAGTAATTGCATAGGAGTATATAATCCATGTATGAAGTATCGATGTGTGCATCTCGGACAATCACTTTGTTTATTTGATTAATACCATGTGATCTGCCTTATCCCAATCATGTGTGTCATTACCCGTTTATCAAAGTATGAAGTCATGCTCATAGAGTGCTGTTCTTATGTCTCGTAAGCGCCGTCTAGCGTGTACCTGTAATTTTGTCGAGTCTATCGGCTCCTACTTGACAGCTCGTTTTTTTGTAAACTTTGTTTTCGACAAGTGGCGTTCTAATGAGAGCTGAAAAGGTACCTCCGTATCCGTTGTTTGCGGTGAACAGGTCGGTAGTATCATTACACACCATATATATATATATATTTATATATATATATATTTATTTATATATATATTCATCAAGATTGTACATTTGCTCTTGCCCTATTCTAGTGGTCTGTGTGAAATCATCGTTGCTAATGTGAGAGCTGGTGGGTTTTCGGCGGATTTTGTCATTATTTCGTGATATTGCGACAACAACGAACGTAAGCTGCATCACCTTGCATGTCGTCCAGCTACAGGCTAATGTTGCCCGTCGAAATCTCTTTCTTTATGAGTGGCGTTTGTGGTATGTGCGTGCGTGCGTGCGTCTACCCGTACATGGTTGCGGGAGCGTGTGTGTGTGCGAGCATGGGCGTGCGTGTGCGCGCGCTTGTGCATGCGTGCATGCGTGCGTGTACGTGTGATCTTCGTTGTTATACTCTAGCCGTGGTTTCTGCCGTGTTAGTTTTTCCACTGTTCGGTAAGTTTTTACAGCAGAAATGCGAATGGTCCAGCGTTCGCAGCTGCGTCAGGGTTGGGATACTACCGTCTCGCTTGGCGTAGCTAGTTCTCCAGGCAACTCGGTCCGCACGAGACCTGATAGTTTATAGGCTGATGAAACTAACATCCCGTGAAATTCATGTGTTCGTGGCTTCCATTTCGACACGTTTCGTCTTCCACGTCCGTGTATTTGCGGCGGTCCTGTAGCTTGTATACCATAGGTTATACGAGAAGAGTGTAATGCGATGGAGTATTGTTATGCCATGCATAGTAATGCTATAGAATGAAGTAAATGTACAATGACTTAACAGCTAGCGATGCATATATATATATATATATAAATATATAAATATGTTGGTGTTTGTTGTTCTAACGTTGTATGTAAACGACTGCCACAGTGACCTTATACAAGGGCCTCTCAAGAGAAACGCTAAAAGTTTCCTTTATTGGCGAGTGTCGGTTAACACAGATTGACTGCCTCGCCTACGTGCCGGTACGTATACGTATGGTGGCGATTCATTAAGCAGTTTTACACGCGGCGTAGTGCAGTGCAGAACAGTTCCGTGTGATTATATAATTACATTTGCTCGTCATCATCGAATTTCATACGTTGAACAAGCTTGTTCGAAGAGTCATCGATGTGTTTTGTATATAAGAGTTATGAGAGAGAACACGAGAGCGCGATGTGAAATTTTGCTACTTTTTTACGGTAATGATGTGTAATCATTTAAACGAGAATTAATTACTAGAAACTTGCAGGGAGTAGTGGAACCGAGAGCCAAACGTCACCTACCGTGCACGTGCAGTTGTACAGGATTTGATATTTAATTATAATATTGTCGATAGATATGCATAGCGCGATAAAGGATGAAGATTTGCAGGATGAATGGGTTTTTTAGAACAGATATCTTTGAATTGATTGCGAAAGCTTTATAAAATTGTTATCAATATAATGTTATACTTTTTTCAAGTAATCTGTATTTTGTTTACTTGTATTGTTTTATCGCGCGTGTGATGTCCAGCCCTAGTGTTTACGTTTTGTATCGATGCTGACTCTATGTGTGCAATGTGACGCATGCGCGAGCGGACATCCGAAAATAAGAAATAAAGGAGCAGCGGGAATGGATTGGACAGAAACGAGGTGTTATAATATTCGGAGTTCAATTATGGTTTGATATCATCGATCAACAAACAATAAGAACATTACATTGGCGACGAGAGGATCAAACGATCACTAAGGAAGCACGTGATGATAAAGGCAGCAATTCAGCTACAACCGCCTCCGTACAGCCGTTTGATTGCCGATCCGAAGGCAAAAATGTCCGATGGACGAAATGGCTGCGTAGATTGGAATGTAACGTTTTCAACGGCTGTGGCATAGTTAACGCGGTGCAAAAGAAGGGATTACTGCTTATGTACGGTGGTTCCGACCTCAACGACATCGTAGACAGCTTCGATCAGCAGTTATTGGAGCCTATCCCGGAAATTCCAGGGTCGGAGAGTCAAACAGCTGTGCCAGGTCAGGACGTTTACGGGCGAGTAACTGCCGCCATCACTGCTTATTTTAACCCGCGAGCCAACATTGAATTTCAAAGATACCTCTTCAAGAAAACTGTCCAGGATACACCCAACATAGAAGATTTTTACTGTATCCTTAAACAACTGGCAGAAACCTGTCAGTTCGCGGAGCCTAATGCAGAGGTTAAGTCACAGATCATCATGGGTTGTCGGCTAGACAAGGTGCGTGACAAGGGACTGAGTGATCCGGACGTAACATTAGACCAGCTATTGCAATACGCCCGCAACCTGGAAGTCACACATGCACACTCCAGGGCGATCAAGAGTCAAGGGGTTAATCTCCTAAGCCGGAACAAACCAACGTTCGCATCAAAGTCAAAACAGCATGTCATAAACAAGCCTGCCGGGAATTTCACCACTCGCCATCCAAAACCAGCTCCAAACAGCACCACTAAGAAGTGCCGGAACTGTGGAGGTCAGTGGCCCACAAGGTGGATTCAAGAAATGTCGCGCATGAGGTCAAGCCTGTAGAAGTTGTGGTAAGCAAAACCATTTTGCTGCTGTTATGTTTGTCAACGTCTAGAGTGCACCAAATAGAGGAGGTAGAAGACGCGAGTACACCTACAAGGTGAACATAGAAGGTCAAGCCGCCTCACCACATTTTGACATCAACACATTGGCAACAACCACATCACCATGATGGCTGACTCGGGAGCAAGCGTCAACCTGCTCTCTGAGGAACACTACCGCTCCATGCAAAGTCCGCCGCCGCTACAACGTTCTTCAGCAAGGATATACGCGTATGGCGAGACGACACCACTGCAAACGCTTGGAGAGTTCACATCGTGCCTGACATACAAGAACAGGTCATGTGATGCAACACTCACCGTAGTACGCAACGGAAGCGCCTCACTTCTCAGTTGGCAGACATCACGTCAACTCAAGCTTATCACACTCGGTGAACGCCATTGGAGACGCAACGCAGAACAACTGGTGAGTGAATATAGCGACCTGTTCACTGGTCTGGGTAAGCTGAAGGACTATAAAGTGCACCTACACATTGATGAAACCGTCCAACCTGTAGCACAGAAAACATCGACGCGTTCCATTTCACGTGCGCAAAGACCTTGAGGCTCAACTTCAAGCAGATGAAGACCTCGGAGTACTTCAACGACCTACCGGCCCGACACCGTGGGTCTCTCCAGTGGTCTGTGTCCCGAAGAAAAACGAGACAGTCGCGGGTGTGCATCGACATGCGATGTGCAAACACAGCAATAAAGAGGGAACGCCACTCAACGCCTACAATCAACGAGCTTGTGAACGACCTCAACGGTGCGACAGTGTTTTCTAAGCTAGACCTAAATCAAGGCTATAACCAGCTAGAACTCGACGAGGCATCACGGTACATTACAACGTTCGCCACACCACGTCGCGGCCTGAGCAATTCACCAGGTTGAATTTCGGCATCTGTAGCGCTGCCGAGGTTTTCCAAGAAGCCATCAGACAAGCCCTAGCCGGTCTCAATGGTGTCATCAACCTGAGCGATGACATACTCGTTTTCGGAAGTGACCAAACGGCACACGACGAGAATCTCCGAGCAGCATTCCAACGTCTGAGGGAAAAAGGGCTCACTCTCTCAAGAAGAAGTGCGAGTTCAACAAACCATCACTTGAATTCTTCGGTCACATCTTCTCGGAAGCAGGTCTTGCCGCTGATCCATCGAAAATCCAAGCAATTCTGGAGATGGAACCGCCAAAGTCTGCATCCGAGATCCGTAGTCTCCTCGGAATGTCAAACTACTGCGGGTCCAGATTCGTCCACGACTACGCGACAATCACGCACGACCTCCAAAACTGACCAAGAAAGACATCCCGTGGCAATGGTTGGCAAAACAATCAAGCAGCATTCAATGCGCTGAAGACCGCACTGACACAAGCGCCAGTACTGCGGTACTTCGATCCCTCATTGGCAACTGAACTGCACGTCGATGCCAGTCCTGTAGGTCTCTGCGCAATTCTGATGCAGGCAGAGAAAGACGGCCCGCGTCACACTGTACAGTATGCCAGCAGAGCGCTTACACCAGTTGAACAGCGTTACAGCCAAACAGAGCGCGAAGCCCTGGCTGTAGTATGGGCCTGTGAACACCTTCACATCTATGTGATGGGAAGTCCAGTAACCATATACACCGACCACAAACCACTGGTGCCGCTGTACAATAATCCGCGGTCAAAGCCTCCAGCACGTATCGAACGGTGGACACTCAGACTCCAGCCGTACGAGATCGAGCTGAAGTATCGAAGCGGAAAGGACAATCCAGCAGATTACCTGTCAAGACACGCACCTAGCGTCACTGAGTGCTCTAGGAGAGAGGAGAGGGTTATGGAGGAGTACATCAACCACATCGCTGCTACTTCTGCACCCAAAGCAATGACCCTGACTGAACTCCACAACTGCCACCGAACGCGATGCGACCCTGCAAGCTGTCATTCACGCCATCCGTTTTGGCAAATGGGAGATCGCGAAACAACGACCCGGTGTTAACATGGCATCATTCGATCGAATTCACAGAGTTCGAGGGGAACTGTCCGTACCGAATCCGGAACTTGATTCTACGTGGCACACGGATTGTTGTACCACATGAACTGCAACAACGCGCTGTCGAGCTGGCACACGTTGGTCATCAAGGCATGGTCAAGACGAAGGCGCTCATACGTGAGAAAGTGTGGTTTAGCGCGTATAGACCATCGAGTAGAGAAATGATTCGTAGTTGCATGGCGTGCAAGGTAGCGACGCCCACCCAAACACGGGAACCCCTAAAATGTCAGCACTGCCTGAACGTCCATGGTCAGAGATCAGCACTGATTTTGGACAGGTACCTGGCATGGCGTACGCACAATATGGTAATCTCCGACGACTTCTCACGCTAACGTCGTCGTGGAACCAGTGTCCTCTCTCACAGCAAGTGCTGTCATCCCTGTCCTTGACAAGATCATTGGAGAATTCGGTGTACCCGATGTGGTCAAGTCGGACAACGACCCCCCTTCAACAGCAGCCGCATTCTCTGACTACGCACGGCACAAAGGCTTCAAGCATCGTAAGATTACTCCGCTGTGGCCGCTCGCAAATGCCGAGGCAGAATGTTTTGGAAAGACAGTAACCAGAAACTCGTCCCGATTCAAACACTCCCCCACACGTCCAGAAAACGTCCCGACGTCGTCTGATGAGGAGGGAGGATGAGCTGGGACTGCCACCAATACCCGGACCAGACGATCCGCCGCCGGACACTGTGGTCCAGCACGCTCCAAGGCTACCCGAGGTGCAAGGTAGACCGCAGCGAGAGCGTCGGCTTCCGGAGAGATTCAAGGACTTCGTCATGAAGTAGAACTAGCTTCATGCTACAGGGAACGGCAATCTACCCTGACCCTGAGATTAATTGTTGTTAGAATGTACCTTATACAAACAGAGTTCTTTTCAATTTAAGGACTGTGCTAAAGGATTGAAGTTTACCTCTGGTACCATGTTTAATTTTGTATCATGTATGAGATATTCGTGTTTCATCAGCTACTGCTGAATATCGGTTTTTGTTTAAAATTGCGCTCATGTAAACTAAAGCAAATAATCAGTGTTTTAATCATTTTTTGTATGGCATAGACATTCTGTTCAAGTTGGGGAGGAATGTGATGTCCAGCCCTAGTGTTTACGTTTTGTATCGATGCTGACTCTATGTGTGCAATGTGACGCAGCGCGAGCGGACATCCGAAAATAAGAATAAGGAGCAGCGGGAATGGATGGACAGAAACGAGGTGTTATAATATTCGGAGTTCAATTATGGTTTGATATCATCGATCAACAAACAATAAGAACATTACAGCGCGTGGTTCGTTTTGTTTGACATCGGCAAGGTGTGTGTGCGTGCGTGTGTGCGTGCGTGCGTGCGTGCGTGCGTGCGTGCGGTGTGCGTGCGTGTAGCTCGCAGACAGGCACTGATTTTTGCGCATTTGCTGTTTGTGGAATTTAAAAAACAGGCTGCCAATAAATGATATTTCGCGAGAAAGATGTATTTTTTAGGCTGTGATTACGCGTCCGGTTACCGGACGCCCAGCTCCCAGGCTACGCGTCCGGTCATACATTTCTCGGGGCCGTAGTGGCCTCCCAAAAAGTGCCACTGTAGAAATATGTATGCCGATGCGGGGGTCGGCGCGTACTCCCCCAGAAAATTTTTGAAATGTTAGAGCCTGGAAATGGCATTTCCTGCATTTTCAGGCTATGTTGAAAGCAACCAATTCTGATCATTTTAAAAGGTCAATTTGTAAATTTCAAAAAGGAATGTAGCTAATGCTGATGTTTTGACTAAAGTATCTAAAATATATATTATGAGTATGATGTATGATAACTAATAAAACATTATTTACAAAATTGTATATACTATCAGTACATAATTATGAAAAGTAAGCCACCCTAACCCAACTATATTTTTTCAGTAAAAAGAATAAGAAATAAGTATTTACCATATTGTTTGACCTTGGTTTTTTTTTGTACTGAACCGATCGACTATCTGCCTGTGCTTTTTGTTTTTGGATGTTTACGTGCATGTATGTATGATATTCATTGTGGGATGTCATTTATTTATAGGATGTCTTTTTGCTCGCTGGATTTGTTAATTCTAATAGAACAGAAATACACACTCAGACATACATGTAACACTTGCAAAGCAGATGTATTGATTCATGTTTAATGCACATGCACATAACTACATGTATATGAACAAGGAGGAATGTTAGACCTCGATCTGAATACATGAATACATGAATACATTGTACAAGCACACCACCACACCGCCACATATATACATCGAGCACGAAAACAATATCCTCCGCTGCACTACGTTCGGAGGATAACCAGGCCAATAGCCGTGTTTAATATTATCAGAAGTAGATAATATAGGGAATTATACTATTATCTACTTCTGATATTATAGTGAGGTCGTGTGTGCGCGTGCGAGTACGTGTCTGGTCAGTGACAGGTCAGGTGATATATGATGATAGACTATCATGATTGGTGGCGGCGATGTAGAACGAAATTTATAACTGGCCAACTACCGCGGATGTAAGGGGAGGGGCGTGATAGCCCACTGAGATCGAGAGTGTTAAATAGGACAGCAGCAGGTGACAGCAGTAGTGTCGGATAACAGCAGAAGCAGCAGGTCGGTAGTCCTATACACTAAGGTGTTAGAACGGGGAAAAGAGTTGGTCACACGGACTCAATAAGGTCAAGGTTAGTCAGCAATATAGTCTAACGATATGTCGGAGGAACAGCGGCCCGAGCTACCGTCGCATCAGTTGTGGTATAAGGATGACTTGGCACTTATGCATATCATGGTGCCCTTCATGAACCAGGTGGAGAACATGAAGTGTATGGACGACGACGTGTTTGTGTGCAGCTGGCCGAAATGTGGTGAGTGAGTGTGTGAATGTTCAAGCGATTCAATAATAGTTTAGGACCCCCATCGTGCAAACGTTATCGTGCAGTTACGTACCTAGGCCTATAACACTAACCCATATATACACGCACCAAGGTCAAACGACGAAAGCAATAATGCAAGTCATGCAGCCGCAGATCTTCCCGCTCGCGATAGACTGTATCACGATTCTACCGCACGCACGTATACGTACATACAGGAACGACGTGGGTGCAGACGATAGTCATGTACGTCATGAACGACGCCAATCTCGACAAGTTCGGCGACAAGACGATCGAAGACATATTTCCGATGCTGGAACTGATCGACATCACCGGAGGAACCGATATACCCGACATCAGCGCCATGCCCTCGCCGCGGCTGATGAAGACTCACATCCCGTTCAGGTATCTGTGCGAGACTCCGGAGGGACGCAAAACAAAAGGTACGCGACGCGCCGCGCGGCGTGATGTCTGCACGGCGGAGCATATCTGACGTCTGCGCGCGGGAAACTATCTGATGAGAGTTAGAATACAGGATTGATATATGATCGGGAGGTTACAAAGAAGAAATCATTTGTCGTGTCGTGTAATCGTCTATCTTCTACCGTGTTATTCCCTAGGGACTCGTCGTTATCCTTTTACTAACCAACCTAATCCTATCAATCCGATTCTACCTTACCTGCATAACATTACCCTACGCCTAATCATAACCCTATATATACCCTATTATAACCTTAACCCTAACCTACCCTAACCATAATTTATACCATAACATACCCTAGACACTACATAATCATATCCTCTCTAACTTTGATCCCACACCTAACCCTACCATAACCATACCTCATCTCTAAGCCTAACCATATTCTCGCTGACATATAACGTATACCTCAACTCAACCTAATGCACACTCTACTATAACCTTAGTTCACCAACAAATCCGGCGGCATGAAGGAGGGGTTCCATGCCCCCCCCCTTGGCATCCGGATCTCTCTATTTTCAGGTGGCATCTGGAATACTCCAATTTTGGGCTGGCATTCTGATACTATTTAACCTGCCAGCCGCACCCATAATACATAAGCAACAGTTAACAAAGTCAATACACAATTTTATTAACCTTTATTCAGGCACCTATTTAATTGCGTAGCATAAATAACTTATGTCATGCTTGTTAGAGGCAATAATTGAGAAAGTACAAGACGTTCATGCCAGACAGTCGGCAATCTGGCTGTTGCATTTTATTTCATTCTGTCCTGCTTGTGCGGTTTTGGGATGCTACTATGTAGTACAGGGGCGGATCAGAATTTCAAAATAGGTGGGCACATATGAGAAATTATGTATAATGTGGGGATGATACGGCGAGAGACGGGAGCACACCGAGCGAGCGAAGCGAGTGAGGGGGACAGGGCGTGTTCGGATTTGGAAAGGGTCTAACCGTACTACTACGAGACGCAGGGGGGGTCTGGGGCCCCCCCCATGAAATTTTGAAATTAGGCCCCCTCAGGATGCGTTTCTCACGAGCAGGGTTCCGGACCCCCTGGACCCCCACTGCTACACGCCCCGGCTCTTTTATGCTTAAATGGTTCAATCTGTGATCTGTAAGGTATTTTTATCATTTGCAGCGCTCTTTAGTGTTATTTGATCAGTGGTCGTGACCAGCTTTCGTTACGGCGGGGCGGGGGGAGCAGACCGCTCAACGTACGAGAATAACATTACACTCAATTTTTTAAACTTATATAGTTTGACATGAGTCATGTGTGTATTACAGAGCACATTTACATATATCAATACTATTGCAGGCTAAGAAAAAAATATGGCAATTTAAAAAAAAATCTTGTGATAACTCGAATTATTTTCACTGAGATGATTTGTGATTAGTATGAGTATGTGGCTGTTATGCATTACAGAAGCAAATAAAATTGTACTTTTTCCCTAATGAACATTCCGTAATACATGTAGGATATACAGTTGCGCCGAAATATTATCTCAAATGCTTAAATCAATTCTGTAATGACTTGAGATGTTATTTGGCTAGATTTAGTTAGAATGATACAATTTGATGTTATGTTACATGAATAGGTCATTGATGTCATTTTGCTGAACCTATTTGAACCTGTTCACATTGAAATTGGAAAATTATTTTTTAATTTTAATATGTATTTTTTTATTTATTTTTTGTTTTAAAATGGGGGGCACGGGACGATGTTGCCCATCTAATCGACGCCTGGGTAGTATATTATTCGGCCTCTCACATTCATACAGCAAAAAGCGAGTAATGCACTGATGCTATAATATATTATATTATTATTTTGATTATGATCAGTTTTATAATCAGTTATAGAGATATATTATTATAGGATTCAGTGTAATGCCTAAATCGTCCAAGAATGCAATAACCACGACAAGGGCATAAGTTCGTTGTATTACATTCCTTAACATAGATTGTACCCACTGGATTCGATTTTCCAGTTGGTTCGCCGTCTCGTGCAGGACAGTCTCGATTTCGTTGGCGGGTAATAGATCCACATTATTAAAATGGCGGAAAGTTCAGAAAAAACCAATCCCCGATTATGTATCAATGCTCTTATTTGCGTCGAATACGTTGTATATTCATCGCCGCGTCCGGCTACCGCACCTCGGCGTCCGGATCTCTATAATAGGACGAATCCGGACCGACGAAAGGGCATGACCCTCATGTAGATGGGGCGCAACCACTGGGGGGGGGGTCACGACCCCCCGACTTTTATGTGGACCTCCCCAACTTCTGGAAGACCTTATTTTCTGGAAGGTCCAAAATAGTCCGATAAGCATTTATTATCGTGAAACATCCATCCTTTCACAGGTGAAAGTTAAAATACATAAAAACCCCAGGTGGTCAAGTGCAGTGTGATAACTGTGATTCAGATTCAGATATCTAAATAGAACCCTTGTTGATATCATTTAGATTCGACCTACATAGTACATTCAATCTCACGTGCATGGAACGAGCACGATATTTACCACGCGTTCGCAAGCCAACTGTGTTATAGACACTAACCACACAAAATATAGGCCCATCTTCACACAAGCGGCGCGTCGCGGCGTGGCACCGTTCACCCTTACCTTCTAATCTATGATATCTACTGGCGCAGTCTCCACTGACACTGCACGGTGCAGGCCTGGTTTCACGGCGACGGCGAAAGTCAAATGAGTTTGACATTTGCCGGCTAACGTGACAGCGAAAAGACAATTGAACCAATCAACGCGATTGTTTTTTATAACGTGTTCTGGAATCGATATTGAAGCAATTGCAAAGGATTTTGTTGCAAAGTGTGACTCAAGGAAGGTCACATTTAATTTGGTTTCTAACACTGTTCTCTGTTTTCACGTGTCAGACATTTTTTGCATTATTATTTTCATCATTATTATTTTTCTCTTCATCTTAATCATGCTAACTGTGTCACACAGTTAGCACAGTCTCTGTGTAGCTTTACTACTAGCTTAATATAATTAATAAAACATTTTGGTATTTTATGTATACATGATCCTAGTAATGTCATTCATGGCATCACAAATATGCAACACTTCCATCAACACACTGAAATACGTGATATTGAACCGTGTATACGCGTGATATAACCGTGATACGTGTATAACCGTGATACGTGATATTCGCTCGCCCGCAGATCACGTTGCTATTGGCTGCTTGTGACCCCCCCCCCAACTTTCAACACGTGGTTGCGCCCTTGCCATGAAGTGTAACTGAACCATTCTATCCATGTCTAGTTGGAGCGCATGGCTACATGGATAGAGCCTGTGACATTACAATGGGTGTAATAGGTCAGTAACAGCACACGTTACTTTCACATTCTAGATCGTCTACGTTACTAGGAATCCGAAAGATGCGATCGTATCGTTCTATCACTTCGACCCACAAGGCATCTCATTACCTGGCGTCACCGATCCCGAATATTGCAAATGGACCTTCTCGCAATATCTCAACTCTTTCTTCCATGACGCCAGTACGTTATTCTGAACCTTTGTTTAGGAATAAATATCACAGTAGAAATATTAACCGTTTACGATTTCACGGAAAAATGGTATTGCAGATATAATAGGTACTTCCGTATGAATGATGAT